AAACTTCGTTTGTGTGTGCAGCGTTGCATCACGAGATAGTTGCCAGAGATATGCATACGAAATTGGAAATGCTAATTAATATGTTTTGCACAGCAGATACGAGGCGATATCCACACATCCTCGGTGGCTCTGTTTACATAAGCGTTAACTGCTCACCCGCACTATCTCGCTCTCTGTCCCACCGCTCCTGCCGTCTCATTCCCACACAGTTGGAGATTATTAAATTAATTTTTATTAGGCGTCAAGCCGTAAAGAACAGCTGAGATGGATGACTGGATGGATGGATGGTTGGATGGCTGGATGGACGGAGCGAAGTCGAGTGAATTGAGTGCGGGAATGAATGAATGAATGGCAAGCTCACATGACAACGCGTTATAATTAAGAACAATGGCAACTTATTCAACTTATTCTCCGTAAACCCAGCGCCCGAGCGAGGGACTCAGCCATATCTCAACTGATTTGTAAGCGGGACTCGCACTCTCGGTCCGTCGTTTCGGTTCTTTTCACCGCCGCTGACACTTGACGAATTCCATCGCCGATTGCCGTGACATGTCATCGCCCGGGAATTTAATTGCAACGCCCTGAGAGCGGTACCACTTCTATAGAGAGTTGGGATTTCTTCGGTTGAGTAATGGAAAAATTTTAGACTGGTTTGTTTATGGATGTGAATGTTTGAAAGGCATGGAGAATTAGAATCTGTCATAAAAATATATCAATCAGTTCAAGAGCTGGTAATATTATAAAAAACATTTTATAAAATTCTTGAAAACCAGGTATAATACTAGTATTTAAGTAATATTTTTGAATATTCTTATACTCCGGGCGAATATTCCATTCCCTCCCTGAACCTTAATTTCTTAAGATCCAGAATTACTTTTCTTAAATTTATATCATCTTAAGTTTGATATTTCTGCAACGCTTAGTACTTAAATATTTTATGCAACAAATATCCCCTATCTTCTTTTTAACCTAGTTAACTTACCCAAATATTGGCAATGTTAAGCAAGGTCAGCCACCTGTTTCCCAAGACTCCCAATCCCTTCACCAAGATCCGCAAACAACCCTTATAGAGTAGGCAAAACAGGAAGTTTCTCTACGCAGATCTTCCCAAGTGATTCAACGAGATGTATTCAATATCCTAATCCTAATCTATTCCATTTCGGAGCCACTCTCAAGGGTTTCTTTTCTCCAGTCGCCGGGGGCGTCCCTCAAAGCGGTCATTGTCTCCGGACGAATAAAAAAAGCAATTCCAATTACAAACCAACAAAACACAACAAATGAATTTTTCGCAACCGGCAGCTGGCGGAAAATAAAAAAAATATTGTACGGGTATCTACAAAAGAATCGGTGCCCATGACTCATGTGACTGTGACCCAATGAGCAATATAAGCGCCCAGCACCCACAAGATACAGATACTCGGGCGTACACGTCTTTGGCAACCCAAGACAAGCGAAACGATTACAAAGAAAAATAATTTGCGCAAATGGAAATGAAAGAGAATCGAGAACGATCAGTCATCGTAGAGAAATATTGCCCCCAACTCCGCCAGCTACAGACTAAAATAATCTAATCAAATCAAATCAATGCTGCAGGACCGCCCCTTATATACGGTTACGGATCCCAAAAGTACACTAAAAGGATCCCTACACTTAAAATATTTTTTTATTTGTTTTGGAAATTTATAAATAAGAAGATATGCCAAGAAATTGTCATACTTGACCCAGTCATGATTGTATTATTTGATATTATTAATTGAGAATATTATTGCTCCACTTTTACACGTTTTCAAGACATAAATTTATTTATTTTATTAATTATTTTTTTATTATTAATTTTTTAAGAAATAAATCCACAATTTGGCTGTCCCAATGATGCACAGAATTTTCCTGAGTGTTCCTCACCAATCCTGCAACATATTGTGCAATCCCTGGGTCTAAGCCAATTCTTTCTATACCCAAGCACTTCCTGGCTTACACCAACTGGCCTGATCGATCGATCTAGCGATAAAGAAAATCATAAAACGAGAGAAAGAAAGAAAGGTACAAGGCAGGAACAAACAATTGAGCGAGGATTGTAACAAAATCCTAGCCAAAGATATCGCTGCAGCACCAATCTGTTTACCTGAGGAATCAGGATGAGGACGATCTTTGCGAGAGCTGAGGTGGGGTGGGGTGAGGTGAGGACCGAAAGACGATGTTTGCACGGTCAACTTTCAACACAATTTGTAGGCTACCTGCAGTTTGCTCAGACGGAGGCTTGGGTGTGGGTTTTCCTGAGAACAGAGCACCGGGTAAGGGAGAGATCCATCTCAGAGCGACCAGTACGAAACCATACCGACCCATCCCATCCCGTACCATCCCATCAGATCCCATCCAGTCCAAACAAGCTGCTTGGCTAACTGGCTGACTGATACGCATCGCCTGGGATGTGTTTGGTTAATCAGCACCTGTCGACTCAACGGGCGTCGACAGGTACAACTACAACTCGCACGGAGCGCTATATACAGTTGCGATCGAAATAATAGCACTGCAAATCAAGGGTTTAGTTGCATCTGGAGGGGTTTTATTTGTCAGTTTGAGTGGTTATTTTTAAGATAATAATATAGAAGGTTCGGCAGTCGCGGCGTTAGCTTGCAGCTCACCCTTGAGTGCCTGCAAATTAATTGTGCCTGAAATAAATACAACGTTTGCGATAATTTGTTCAACTTTTATTTATAAGGAACTTTAAATTATCTCAAGTTGCGTTTTTTGATATAAATTTTGTATTTACTTTTATTTACTTAATAATTATTTTCTCCTAATAGTCTTGCAATAAAAAATGATTTATTTATATGAAGTCTTTGAATTATGTGTATTTTAAATTGTAAAGAATTGTTAGAAAATGTACTATTTTTATTGAATTATACGGTTTCACAATAAAAATCGAATTAAAAACACTTAGTTTGTATATATGTCGAATAAGATTTCCTTTGATTAAAGAACACATGTAGTATTTATTTTTCCGAACCCAGCTGTTTGTGCGTTCTAAATAATCCAGTAGCGATCTGCTTTGCTCGGCGCAGTGTTTTTGGGAAAGTTTGAAAGTGCGGTTACAACATATGGCCAGCCAGATCATGCGAAAAAAATATCAGATTCGGACTCGAACTCGTACTCAGACCCCCGTCGAACTTTAAGTCGACTCCATCTGCGGCTCAGCCACCGCCACCTCATAATGAGTAAGCCGCGAGTTCGAGATCTCCCCGACAAATCTCGATTGCCCAGCCGGTCCGGTCCAAAAGAAATACCAACGGTCCGAAGCCGAGGCCCAACTCCAATCCCACCAACTGCTGCGGCTGCTCTCATAAATCAAGAAAAATCAGTCAATTTTTTTGTGGGTTCGCGTGTGTGAGTGTGCGCCTATATCAAACTGACATTGGCTGAATTAACAATTGATTTCAATAATTTTTTATGATTATTCTCCGCTTTTTTTCGTCTCGTTTTCGGTTTTTGCGGCTGTCTGCAAGGCAAGCAAAGAAAAGCCGAAGATCAGCCACTTGCACTCGATTCCGTTCAGTCGATTCAGCAAATCGGTTCTCAGTTTTCTCTCTTCGGATATAAGGCTGATCTATCTCATCTGCTGAATTGGGAAAACCACTCAATTTTGCTGAGTACTCAACTCTCAGCTGAGTTTTTGTGGAGTAAAACTCGTCTAACCGGTGTGACGAGTGTCAATGTCTCATTGGAATCGGAATTGTTTGCTCGGCTTTGACGCTCAGCGGAACCGACAGGCGGGAAGCGGCGGGGAGGCCCACGGTGCCGCACAGTGGGCCCAAACGGCAAGGTGCCAGCTGTGGGTGTGAGCCCGCTGGGCCGAGGAGTTTTTGTTTGAAGATCAAGGTTGTTTTGGCGTGTCAAATATTTGAGGTGTGGACTAATTCGATTTGTATTTCAAGTCTTGACACCGGAAGTCGTATAAGATGTTTGCAGAAATCGCTCCTGAGTATCTTCATCCATGACAAATTGGCTATTTCCAATGTGAAAACAACAATTTTTTAAAATCAAAATCTACCTTTAACATTATTTAGTTTTTAATAAAATAACATTTATTGCAAAACAAAAATTAATATTTTTTATTAAAATTAAATCGGGTTTAACCTTTAATTTTATTTCGTCAGGTCGACGGACTATGATTTTTTTAAATTTAAATTAATATACAAAATACGGCTGCTTTTTTTAGAAATAGGAAAAACGCCCTTCGTTTTATTGGAATCTAAAAAGTTATTGGCACTGCTCTCATTATAAATTGGAATATTTTATTATTATGACATCTTAAATGTTGAATATTTTTATAATATACGATTATACGACTCCTTAAAAACTGATTTACAATAATTCGAAATAATGCAATTTTATCTCGATTTCGGTGTTCTTTGTGGATTACAGTGCCGCACTTGTTACATATTTTCTACTTACTTAATAGTTGTCCCAGCCATCTACTTCCCTAGGGAACTCTTTTTATCAGATGGAACGGATCTTTACAGATCAACCATATCGATTTACTTCTTTTTTCACATTTATCCTTGACCCATGAACATTGCAGATTCGGAAGGTCCTCGCCTTAGAATTCCACATGTTTCCTTAAGCCAATTTCACCTGCCCATCTCCCGCGATCTCACTTCCTCCCAACCCATCTGTCATTTGTTGCAAAACCCAATGCAAATTCTACCTGCCCGCCTAGTGCAATTCAAAGCTATTCAGCCCACTGTGCACTGTGGGCCATTACGTGCGATGCGTTTGCGTTTGGATTGCATAGTTTTGTTTACTCGATCGCATCTCGCTCTAGTTCCTTGGTTCTGTGTGCGTGCTCAATGAGTGCTCACTTACTCATTTACTCAGATACTCACAAGGGCACCTACTCACCCAGGTACTATTCATACACTCACTCACCCTGTTGAGTGCTTTTCAGCGGCACTTGCTGCTGGCTGAAAGCCGAAGAGAGCGATCAGTTTTTGAGTTGACTTCGAGCCGAGCGGACGCGCGTTTGTCTGTTAGCGGATGAAACAAACAGAAAAAGAAGAAATATCGCCTCGAGAAAATTTAGAACACAATTTATCAAACGCGCTATCGCACCCCCCACTTGGATTACGGTCAACGCGAAACTACAACAGCGGAATAAAGATATAGAAATCGAAACAAAAAAACCGAATCAAAAGATATAAAAGAAAATAATAGCCAGCGGGAAGAAACAAGAAAATCGTTTTAGATAAAGCATTAAATCGCTTGATGTGGTGTTGAATGTGAAAAGTGCCGATTGTGCAAAGCTGCGCTATAAAACCAAACAAAAACCAAAAAAGCTACGAAAAATCCCAAATAAACACAAACACAAAATGGGCGAGAAATAGAACGAGCAGTGAAATTGACCAAAAGAAGCCCCCCAATAGCCCCCCAAAATCGAAGCCCCTTTCGAAGTTTAGGAACCGCCCGAAAATGCTGGCCACCAGCCACATGCTGTACGTGCTGATTGCCACCTGGGTGATACCCATTTTCGGGGCAGCCTTGAGCAAAACGGTGTTGTACCAGGCGCCCGACGAGTGCCGCTGGTCCGGCGGCGGGGAGCACGACATCACACTGGTCTGCCACCTGAGGACGATCAATTCGGAGCTCGAGAACACCAACTTCAGTGTGATCCAGCCGCAGAACACGGTGCGTCTGCGCCTGGAGTGCAACGATGCTCTGTTCTTCCAGAGCAGTCTGAGTCCCGATAGCTTCAGGTCGCTGGTGGAGCTCAGGGATTTGACCATCGAGTACTGCAAGCTAGGCAACCTCACGGATGGCTCGTTCCGAGGTCTCCAGGAGCTGAGGAACCTCACCATTCGCACGCACAACGGCGATTGGTCCACGATGTCGCTGGAGATGGCCTCCAATAGCTTCGTGGAGTTCCGCCAGCTGGAGCGTTTGGACCTGAGTCTCAACAACATCTGGCTTATACCAGACGGCATGGTGTGCCCTCTGAAGTCGCTGCAGCACCTGAATGCCTCGTACAACAAGATCCAGGACATCAGCAACTTCTACTTCAGCGCCTCGTTGAGTTCGCGAAAGGCCCGCGTTTGCGGCTCCACGCTGCAGAGTCTGGATTTGAGTGCCAACAAGATGGTCAGCCTGCCCACGGCCATGCTGTCGGCTTTGGGGCGTCTTACCCACCTGAATATGGCCAGGAACAGCATGAGCTTCCTGGCGGATCGCGCCTTCGAGGGTCTCCTTTCGCTAAGGGTGGTGGATCTGTCGGCCAACCGACTGACCTCCCTGCCCCCGGAACTCTTTGCCGAGACCAAGCAGCTGCAGGAGATCTATCTGCGCAACAACTCCATCAATGTCTTAGCCCCCGGAATCTTTGGTGAGCTGGCCGAACTCTTGGTTCTCGACTTGGCCAGCAACGAACTGAATTCGCAGTGGATCAACGCAGCCACCTTTGTGGGTCTCAAGCGACTGATGATGCTGGATCTTTCGGCCAATAAAATCAGTCGTTTGGAGGCGCACATCTTCAGACCCCTCGCCAGCTTGCAGATCCTGAAGCTGGAGGAGAACTACATCGATCAGCTGCCTGGGGGAATCTTTGCGGATCTCACCAACCTGCACACCCTCATCCTCTCGCGCAATCGCATCTCGGTCATCGAGCAGCGCACTCTGCAGGGTCTGAACAATCTGCTGGTGCTCTCGCTGGACTTTAACCGAATCAACCGACTGGACCAGAGATCCCTGATCAACTGCAGCCAGCTGCAGGATCTCCATCTGAATGACAATAAATTGCAGGCCGTGCCGGAGGCTCTGGTCCATGTGCCCCTGCTCAAGACCTTGGATGTGGGAGAAAACATGATAGGTCAGATCGAGAACACGAGCATCACGCAGCTGGAGAATCTGTACGGCCTCCGGATGACGGAGAACTCGCTCACCCACATCCGCCGAGGGGTCTTCGATCGGATGAGCTCCCTGCAGATCCTCAATCTGTCCCAGAACAAACTGAAAACCATCGAGGCGGGTTCCCTGCAGAGGAACAGCCAACTGCAGGCCATTCGGCTGGACGGGAATCAACTGAAATCCATTGCCGGCCTCTTCACCGAGCTGCCCAATCTGGTGTGGCTGAATATCTCGGGCAATCGTCTCGAGAAATTCGACTACTCGCACATTCCCATCGGCCTGCAGTGGCTGGATGTGCGGGCCAACAGGATCACCCAGCTGGGCAACTACTTTGAGATCGAGAGCGAACTCAGTCTGAGCACCTTCGATGCCAGCTACAATATGCTGACGGAGATCACGGCCAGTTCGATACCGAACAGCGTGGAGGTGCTCTACCTGAACGACAACCAGATCGCCAAGATCCAGCCGTACACGTTCTTCAAGAAGCCCAATCTGACCAGGGTGGACCTGGTGCGTAACCGCCTGACCACCCTGGAGCCCAACGCCCTTCGGCTGTCGCCGATTGCCGAGGATCGCGAGATTCCCGAGTTCTACATTGGCCACAATGCCTACGAGTGCGACTGCAACTTGGACTGGCTGCAGAAGGTCAATCGCGAGTCGCGCACCCAGCCGCAACTCATGGATCTCGACCAGATTCACTGCCGACTGGCTTATGCTAGGGGATCCTCGCATGTCTCCTTAATCGAGGCCAAATCGGATGACTTCCTGTGCAAATATGCCTCGCACTGCTTTGCTTTGTGTCACTGCTGCGACTTCCAGGCCTGCGATTGCAAAATGGAGTGTCCGGATAGATGCTCCTGCTACCACGATCAATCGTGGACCTCGAATGTGGTGGACTGCAGCCGTGCCTCCTACGAACAGACGCTGCCCTCGCACATTCCCATGGACTCCACGCAGCTTTACCTCGATGGAAATAACTTCCGCGAGCTGCAGAGCCACGCCTTCATTGGTCGCAAGAGGCTAAAGGTGCTCCACCTGAACCACTCGCGGATCGAGGTGCTGCACAATCGCACCTTCTACGGTCTGTTGGAACTGGAAGTTCTGCAGCTGCAGAGCAATCAGCTGAAGGCTTTGAATGGCAACGAGTTCCAGGGTCTGGACAATCTGCAGGAGCTGTATCTGCAGCACAATGCCATTGCCACCATCGACACGCTCACCTTTACGCATTTGTATCATTTGAAGATCCTGCGGCTGGACCATAATGCCATCACCTCGTTTGCCGTCTGGAACTTCCTGCCCAGCTATCTGAACGAGCTGCGCCTGGCGGGAAATCCTTGGAGCTGCCAGTGCGAGTTCATCGACAAGTTCAGGGACTACATGAATCGCCACGAGTATGTGGTGGACAAGGCGAAGATGAAGTGCGACCTGGTCAGTGGAAATGGCACCCAGCAGATGGTCATTTACCCGGGGGCAGCCGGAGAGGCCAGCTCCCTGCCCGTCGTCCAGTGCAGTCAGACGTTGCCTTTGGGTTTGGATAACAGCTTCAATTACGCTGAGCAGGCGGGTGGCGAGAACGCCTCGAATGCCACCTCCACCAAAATGATCCTCAATCAGCCGCCCAAGCTGGACTACATACCCATCCTGGTGGCCATTCTGACGGCCTTCGTGTTCGTGATGATCTGCACCTCGTTGGTCTTCATTTTCCGCCAGGAGATGCGTGTGTGGTGCCACTCGCGGTTCGGCGTGCGGCTATTCTACAATGCCCAGAAGGATGTGGACAAGAACGAGCGGGAGAAACTGTTCGACGCCTTCGTCTCGTACTCCTCCAAGGACGAGCTGTTCGTCAACGAGGAGCTGGCTCCCATGCTGGAGCTCGGCGAGCATCGCTACAAGCTGTGCCTGCACCAGCGGGACTTTCCCGTGGGCGGCTACCTGCCGGAGACCATCGTTCAGGCCATCGACAGCAGCCGGCGGACCATCATGGTGGTCAGCGAGAACTTCATCAAGTCGGAGTGGTGCCGCTTCGAGTTCAAGTCGGCCCATCAATCGGTGCTGAGGGATCGTCGCCGGCGTCTCATAGTCATTGTGCTGGGCGAGGTGCCGCAGAAGGAGCTGGATCCCGATCTGCGTTTGTATCTGAAGACCAACACGTATCTGCAGTGGGGCGACAAGTTGTTCTGGCAGAAGCTGCGATTCGCCCTGCCGGATGTCTCATCCTCCTCGTCCGCCGCCCAGCGATCGAACGTCGCCGGCCAGAGTTGCCATGTGCCCATCAACCATGCCGCCTACCATCACCACCACCACGTCCACCAGCAGGCGATGCCGCTGCCCCACTCGGTGCACCACCATCAGCAGCAGTTTATGTTGCCACCGCCACCACAGCAGCCGGGCAGCTTCCGGCGGCAACCTTCGTTGCAGCAGCAACATCAGCAGCAGCAGCAACTTCGCGGCAGCAACAGCGCCACGCAGCAGCAGCAGCAACAGCAGGCGGCCTTGCTGATGGGCGGTGGGTCGGTGGGTGGGCCTGCACCGCAGATGATCCCCCTGGCGGGTGGCATCCAGCAGCAGAGCCTCCCCTTGCCGCCCACCCAGCAGCCGACGCCGGCGTCCAGAAATCTGCACATGTGAGTGGGGCTGCCATTGGGCAGAGGGTTAAAGGCAAGGTCAAACGAGCTGGAGAGCTACGAGATATATGGCTTTTCACTAATTGTTAAAAGATTTAGGAAAGGTATATACATTTTTATGATGCTGAAAAAAGAAACCCATAAAAAAGAGGAAATAGCACTAAGCCATTCGCTTATGAAAGGTGATCTAGAATATCTGCAGCCCGAAAAAAACTACTTACCCTCGCGAAAAACAAGTTTAACTTCCTCGGGTTTCGAAATGGAAACAAAAAGGGGAATTGCATTCAATATGCAAATGCGAGCGTTTAGCGATAAAAGCCTAGTTACATGTTAAAATAGCAAAAGTAAAAGAAAAATCGAGTGGGGAAAGAACAGGCAACACCAGGCAACAATAACAACAACAAGCAGAGACAACAGACAACAGTAAAATAGCTGGCGAGCCAGGCAATTGTTGTTTGTTGGCCCTGTTCTGTTTTCTTACGGCCAGCTATTTTCAGTTTCCTGGCTCGCAGCTAGATTCTGAAAATTGATGTTGCATGCAACACAGCAACGCAGCAACTAGCAACTCGGAACTACACAGGGAAAACTTGAGACATTTCTTTTGAGGTCTAATTAATATTTTTTCAATTGAAAATAAACTTTGAGATTAAAGGGGATTAAAAGATCTAAAACATAGATGTTTGGGTAACAAGAAGTTTGAAGAAATGCAATTCAGCTATGCAGATATTTATATTAATTAATTTATTTCAAATCTATATTTTTAAAATATTTTTTTTTAAGATCTTTTATCAATTTTTTAAGAATCCTACTTATTTTCTGTGTAGATCCAACACCAACCAGTCAGTCAGCAACAAAAGGCAACAACAGGCCCAAAAGTATTTCTCTTGGCTTTATTTTCCTTTCCTCCTTCTTCTCCTTTATTTTGTCGTTTTCCAGCATTTTTCCTTCTTTTTTTTTTTTTTTTCCTCGTTTTCCCCGTTTGCAACGCTCAGTCGTTAGTTCATCTTAACTGCTGCATTTTGCTATAACAAGCTCGACGTGTGTAGAAGATACACCCGTGTATCTGTATCTGCAGCAGCTGTAGTCGAATAGGTACTCGTATCTGTGTATCTCTGTGGATGTGACTGCGCGGGCTGGGAGAAATAGGCAGCGAAGGCAAAACATCACAGAGCTCATGTCTGGCCAAAAGGAAAATGGTAACAAAAAGCAGACCTTAGACGTTAGAAAACCGAAAACCCAGACCGTCTGCAGACATTTGTTGTGCGACGGGTTAAAATTGGTTTTGCTTTTTGTTACTTCTCTTTCTCTATTCGAGCCACAATTACATGTGCTAATCAATGGCAGAAAAATAGATAGCTGAGTAACACAATTGTGTGAGAAGGGAAACAATTGTAGGGGACTTAGCTCTGATAAAACGGACTTACATCCAACAATTAATGCCAGTTAATTGTGCCCGGCAGCATAGGAGAAGAGTTCCCCTATAATAGAGAGATAGAGACCCTTGTGCAGATCACGCTATGCCCAGATTTGATTAGAAAACAAAGCTTTCTTTTTCCCCAGCTAGTCAGAGATTAAGAAGAAGCGGTAGTCAGAATTTCCCAGAGTGAAACCTCCAATGGTGACCTTGCTGCTAGAGAAAAAAAGATACAAGGAAAGCCAAGGAAAAGCTTAGGAAAGAGAGATCAGCACGTGTGTGCGCCGAGTTCTCGGCCCCCAAAGTTGTGTTTTGGCCAAAATCGACAAGGCCAGAAAAGGAGGAACATGAGAACAGAGCCGTACAGATTAGTTTGGTCTTGGCGATTAAATCTACCTGGTTGTGTGCTACGCCCTCTCCATTTCCACCTCTATCTCGGACAATCTCCAGCTCTCCAGCTCCGCCGACTTGCCAATTTGAAAATGCATTCCAAAAGCACGAAACCAGAAACTAGTTAACGAAATAAACACACACTCTAGAAGGATTCACTTTGTTTAGACCGTAAAGAGTTAAATGTATATAAGCTAAATGTTAATTGTACGTATATTTGTTTAATCATTGTGATATTTTGTTTTAGCAATAAGCCCTAATTTATTAAGATTTTCCTACCAGCCTATGTTTAGCTGTAAACTTATCCTCATTAGTTAGAGTCTAGTTTGTAAGTATAAATAGATCGAATCCGAATCCACAACACCCCGCCTACGAGATACAGCCATATTAATTCTATGAAAATTATTGTATATAAAAAACAACTGAAAAAGGACTGTATGCACTAAAAACTGAATGAAAAACGAATTATGCGACACGAATCAAACAAATTGAAAACATAAATCGACTGATTACATGTGTACTATATATAAATATGCATAACATAATAATTATGATTTACCCGACGCTCGTTGTAAATATTGTAACTACCCGCACACCTATGAATATGTATTGTATTTTGTAATTTTATGTTTTCTAGTTTATAGCGAAAAAACGAAGAGAAAAAACGAATCACAAAAATATATAAATGACAAAAAATTGATAATCCAAAAACTGTCTCGATTTTTTATTCACTCCATTCCGCAGCTGAATTTGTAATATTATTTTTTGGTCTGCCGCTGATAAGCCATAAACTATCTCGCCTTGACATTTGATATGGATTCTTGATACGGATTCCACGTCGGATGCGGATTCCAATGCCAGCAGTTCGCTTTTTCCACAGAGCGATGGTGTTTTGCTTTGTCTCTGGTTTTGTTTATGTCAGAGCGGTGTTCTATTACAGCCGAATAAAAAATTTGCAAGATAAACACTAAAAGAGCTTGACCATTCCATGACAGATGGGAGAAAGGCGGCGGGCGAAGAGGCGAGATTTATGGCGAGAGGTTGGCTTAAAAACTTTCCGGCGACAGATGATGAACTTGCTTAAATGACGGATAGATTAATTCCAGTTCCGCTTTTTATACCCTTGCAGAGGGTATTATGATTTCAGTCAGAAGTTTGCAACGCAGTGAAGGAGACGTTTCCGACCCCATAAAGTATATATATTCTTGATCAGCATCACAAGACGAGTCGATCTAGCCATGTCCGTCTGCCGTCGTCCGTCTGTCCGTCTGTCCGTCCGTCTGTCCGTCTGTCCGTCTGTCCGTCTGTCCGTCTGTCCGTCTGTCTGTTTCTACGCAAACTAGTCTCTCAGTTTTGAGCTATCGGGACAAAACTTTCGCAAAAGTCTTCTTTCTATTGCAGGTAGTATATATGTCGGAGCCGACCGGATCGGACAACTATATCTTATAGCTCCCATAGGAACAATCGGAAAAAAAAACTTTAAAAAATTCTAGCTTCGGTGTTTTTTGAAATATTACCTTCTACTTTTGGGGATGTTACTTTTTAAATATTCCTGAATTTCGAATTAATTTTTTAAAAAATCGGACTACTATATCATATAGCTGCCATAGGAACGATCGGAAAATTAATGGAAAAGTAATAGGAAATAAATTCAAGCTTCTTTGGTTTTTATTGTATTATCTTCTACTCTAGGATATGACTCTTTTTAAATATTTCCGAATTTCAATTTTAATTTGATCAAAATCGGACGACTATATCATATAGCTGCCATAGGAACGATCGGAAAATTAATGAGAAATATTAGAAAATTGAACATTTTTGCGATTTGTTAATTAATAGGAATGATCTGCGAGGGTATATAAGCTTCGGCTGGCCGAAGCTAGCTTCCTTTCTTGTTGCAAATATTTTTATAGATTTTTTGAGTGACCTGAATTTTTTAGACCTTTAAGTTTACGCTTGCCAAGTTACTTTTAAAGCGTATACAAGAACGCCAAAATCAAAATCAACTATATTTTACTGGGTCTTTAATTTGTTGCCCATTTTTAACATGTGTAAATTTTTCAATAATAATATATTTTCCTTTTCAATTACAAACAAACACAAATTAATTTATTTAACAAGATATAAAGTAAATAGAATTAATATATTTCGAAACCCGAGCTTTGTAAATTCTTCTGGCATTTTTGGTTCGATTTCCAAATATGAATATTCCACCGTTTCAACTATTCTCAAAATTCTTTACACCAACCTCGCCACACGCATCCATACGCTCATCGAACCACACATCCCACGATTGCTCCATTTGAATTAATTTTAAACAGAAAAGCCCCTCCGCCAGCGCCTTGGTATTCATGCTTGCCAAAGATGCGACAATATCTTCCCATGCATATTTTAAAGATATCTATATGGCAGTCGTATCTCATGTGCGGAATTATTGGCTATCGTGTGTTTATACTAGCTGCTCGCTGCTTATTTGAGTCAATGAGCCCACAGCGAAATATTTTGCCGATTCCGCTGGCTGCCTGGAAACGAGTTCTTTCCCAGCTCCCGATGAATGAATAATTTTTATGATCAATTAAATGCGCAATAAAATTGATGGGGCCCCCACCGCCGAAACATAAATTCACATTGCTTAAATTAGCGAATTTTACAATCAATCATTAGCGGGCCAGTGGATCGACAAACGGCCTTTGATGTGCAACTTTACTGTGGAACGTGGATGCGGGGGAAATTGAATATGGGATGGGTTCTAGTATGCGGTATCTGGTGGATACACATATGTCTGCGGCCTAACCATTCGGCGGATAAACCCTTTTCAATATTTTCATTTCCCTCATCGCTCGATTCGGTGCGGTTCGGGGCGAAACAGAAGACAGAAAACGAAAACCTAGAAAACTTTGCAAAAAAACACGTCAAATATTAAAAACTTTTCTTTGCTTTTACTTTCTCCAAAACCCGCTGGCATATATATACACATGCCACCCATCCACATCCACATCCACGTCCACATATCTCTCCCCTTTTTCCTTTATTTTATCAATTTTGCCTGTGGGATTTGTTACAAAGTAACGGATGAGTTGAAGTGGAAAAAGGGAAAGAGTGCAGACACCGCCAATCCAAGAGGCAAACTTTCAATTGAATTTTTTTGTTCACGTTGTTTCCTTTCGGGTAAGGAAAGTTTAGAGGCCCGCTTTTGAGGTCCGGGCTTCCTTTTTTCGGAACCCCGCTCGGCTGCGGGGTCTTTGGGGGTTCCGTCTGTCATTTGGAATACGCAGCGAAAAGAAGTCGACGTAAATATTTCGGTTTACAAGTCA